TCAACTATTAAGAGCCTTCTAATCAACAAGTCACTCTCAGTGAGTTTTTTTTAATCCTTAGTGAAAGAACTTTTAAATATAAGTTTAAGGGAAAACTAGGGGAGGATCAATGAAGAGAAGGACTAGGGGTGACATGATAGCAGTGCTCCAATATCTGAGAGGTTGCCCCAAAGAAGAGGAAGTCAAGCTATTTTCCAAAGCACTTGAAGGCAGGACAAGGAGCAATGGATGGAAACTAATCGAAGAGAGAAGCAACCTAGAACTAAGGAGAAATTTCTTGACAGTTAGAACAATTAATCAGTGGATCAACCTGCCTCCAGAAGTTGTGAATGCTCCAACATTGGAAGTTTTTAAGAAGAGACTGGACAGCCATTTGTGTGAAATGGTATCGGGTTTCCTGCCTGAGCAGGGGATTGGACTAGAAGACCCCCAAGGTCCTTTCCAACTCCATCATTATCATCATCATCATCATCATCATCACCATCATCATCATCATCGAAAAAGAATAATTGGAACATTGATTTTGGAAAGTTAAAAATGGAAGATTTTTAAATTAAATTTAACAATCTTTGAAGAATTAAAGATTATTAAAAGTAAAAGGAAGGAATATAAAGTGGGTTTACATGATCAAGGTTAAAAGAGCTACATCATTATTTCTGATAACCCTTAATGGATTTTTATTGAGCAGGACTGAATGACTGAAAGAAGAGATTATTGCTGCATTAAGTTGTTAAAATTACTTATACTTGTTGTGAAAAAGAGGGAAATTACTTCTTTATACATTCATATACTTTTCTTTTTCTTTGCTATATTCTTATTTTTTCTTCCTTTTCTAATTTTAAAGTTTTTTTCTTTTTTATGCACTTTCTATTTATTATTTTTATTTTTTGTAGTTCATATTAGTCTTTATCTGTATAATTGTAATATTTAACAAAGATTAATAAATTTTATTTATTTAAATTGCAATACAATTTTATGTAGAATGAATAGATACAACTGAACACCATCAGTTCCCTTTAGCTTTGGCATCCTCCCCGTATCCTGTCCATAATATAAATTTATTTTGGCTTTCACTCTATAAAAGCCACTAAAATAAATGAAACATTTGATAATCTGTACATCAGACATGTCAAACTCGCAACATCACATGACATCATGAGATATATCGGGACTATTTTGCCATTGCTGGCAATGGGGTGGGCACGGCTTCCGGATGACATGTCTGGCCCGCGGGCTAGCTGTTTGACACCCCTGCTCTACATGGAAGCCTATTTCTATGTATTTTCTATGCTCCTTAATACTATTTATCCTATGCCTATTTCATGACTATCTGAGTCAATATCTAGCTTGAACTTGTTTTCTGAATTCTTAAATTGCTATAATTCTAACTTTCTTAACCTATTAAAATGGAATTCTTTTGTTGTATTACTTAACAATTTACAACCATGGAATTCATTATCCAATAGCCAATTTACATTATAGTTATATCATTGCGTATGATTCTTAGGCTTACCACATCTGGATTGCTAAAATATGGATAATCAGTGAATGGTAGCAAAGAGATCTTCTCCTCCCCCCCACCAATATCTCTTTGTTGGCATTTAATTTTTTAAATTAGAGGTAAATTAGAGACTTAAATCAGGAAACTCAAACCCCCAGCTTGTGGTTTGGCAACAGAATAGGGAGGGCAGCTGGCCAAATTCAGGTGGATATTGCAGGATTCCCTGGGCTGGTAGGAGGGGAGAGCTCTATGAAAAGCCTGGGGGAGTTGTGTAGAGCAGTTTGGTTCATTTTATTCATATTTTTTTTACTTATTAGAGGTTTTTCTATTAGTGTATTGGCCCATTCCTTATGTGGCACTTGGGGCTATTTGAGTTTGAGATCTTTTTGAACCTTAGCATTACTGCTTTACCCTTTAGTTCTTATACAAACTGGGAATAAGAATTGGTATTTAAATGATTACAGAAAGCTATGGAAAATATTTTAAATGAAACACCAATATTTAAACAGCAACATATGAAAGAAGAGATTAAATAGAACAAAGGATTTATTTATGGAATTTATCTGCTGCCTCAACCCAGGTAGATTACTTTATAATCAAGGCTGCATTGCTATGCACTGTGTGAGAATAAGTCAAGGCATGAAATAATACAGGTATTTACCTACCTGATACCAGTTATATATCATACAGATATCATATAAATAATATAGGTAACTGGATATTTATGGTACCAAGAACAAATTCTCCATTTCTAAAGACCGAGGCATTCTCAGTCTATCTGAAAATTCTATCTGAAAATAATGAAGGTAACTAAATTTTCAGAAGGAAAAACACAATAAAGAATACATTAATAACACTGAATTGCCTACTGATGTATGAATTCCACAGTTAAATAAAAAAATCACATACTGCTGATAGAAGGAAAAATGATCAAGCTTTGATTATGGAGAAACTAGTAAAGAGTAAGCATTAAAATTACCTGACTTTCTGACAGTCTTCCTATAATAAATGTACATATAGGATGATACATATTAGTTATGAGAATTATTCACACATATATAATTTGCCTAATAAAATATTTGTAAAGTAGATGGAGGATAAGGACAAGTCACTGACAGCCTGAGCATGTGAATAGGATACAAATCAAAAATTAGTTCTAATTACCGCTATTGTTCTTTGATTACTCCAGAAAAGTTCAGATTATGAATGAGAACTGAATCACCTGTATGATTTTACACAGCAACAAACAATGCGGAGAACACAGACATCCACTACAAACTATGATGCAAAAATTATGTAACATCTGTTCTCCTGTCACAATAAATCTCAGCCTTTTGTGTTTGCTGTTGGATATAAATATGTAAGTCACAAGGTATATGTCATAATGCACATTTTATTACTAGCCCGATCCAAGCAGACATTGATGATGTAAGGCTATACAAAGTTATTAAAATTACATTGTATTCTCTGTATGGGAGAATAATTTAACATATTTAATTTAACATATTTAAAGTTTTATAATTTCTAAACTAACGGAAAATATTCTGCAAATCACATAATGGCTTACCCACTGAACAATTATTTCAAATGTTGCATATGCTTCTTTTCTTTCTGCAGCATTGAATTGTACATGAGAAAAAACAACAGAAACTGATAGAAAGAAACATCAGTTACTAAGCACTGATTTGTTTTATCTCAAGGAGTTACATTTTTTTCAACAATGTTGCAATGATAGTTGGGTGGAAAAGTTTTAGAAACTGCACTTCATTTTCCTGGTGTCCCTTAAATGACTGGCAATGTTGGTTCTCAGTATGTGTGTGACTTGTTTTCTGTGCAAATATAATTTCTGCCTTGCATTTTTCCTCACCTTTGCCTGACATTCTGTGTCATACTGGTTTGATGTACACATGTAGTTCAAGCTTTGCATCCACAACGACATTATCCTATTACTTTGATTAAAGATTCATTTTGCAATAGCAAAAACTGGAAACTGCTATGAAAAAGGTGAGCTCTACATGGATGTCAGGACCAGAAATTACTTTTGCATTGGTTGATTATGTACCATCAAGTCATTTTTTGACTCCTAGTGACCAAGTAAAAACACATTTTCTCCTTGATGTTCTATTCCTAAACCTCTTCTTTCAGGACACTCATTGTCACTTTGACTGAGTTCAGTACATCCACCTTGCATTGGTCATCCTCTTCTCTTTCCTTCCTTTCCAACATTAGAGCCTTTTCCAGGGAGCTAGTACTTTTATACATGTTTCCATAATTAATTAATTAATCTCACCGGCTCAAGGTTGACTCAGCCTTCCATCCTTCCGGGGTAGGTAAAATGAGGACCCAGATTGTTGGGGGCAATGTAAATATATATATATACATTGCTTACTGGTGTACACCGTTTAGAGAGTGCTTGCACTTAAAGCGGTATATAAGTCTCATAAATAAATAAATTCTATTAACATAGATAAAAGCTACAGGATTTCCAACTCACCACTGAATACAGAAATGAAACTATAGGACAATTATCAGAAGCAGCAGCCACTGCTATCGCTCACCTTTCTTAGCTATGAAGGGTAGAAAAAGTGAGCAGAAGTAAAAGAAATGGCCACTGCTTCTTGCATGTTATTTTGGACTTTCAGTCCCAGTGCATTTGAGGACATGAGAGAGAAAAGGGATGATGCTGCATCAGCCAGGAGGAAAGTAAATGAAGTACCTACTCCTAACACAAGTGGTGACTGAGTGGCCCAGACAAGGAAACAGATTGGCATGATACCGTTCTGCAGGCAAAGTCAGCAGCCCAAATTGTCCCACTAGACTGCCTAACAAAAGGCAGTACATGATCCTCTTACTGTAGTGTATCCAATCCGTCAGTGATGTGGCTGGAAAATTAAACCCATTGAGAAAAGAAAACAAAGACACCATCAAAGCCAAAGGCCATCCACAATGTGGAATGAGGACCGTCCATTCTCCCTGTCAACATAGCTCTGGGGGAATAACATTTATGAGATTTAGCTATAAAACCATTTTTTTTACCTAGTTCCAGCCATATTAATCTATTACAGCAAGAACCAAGTCTTGACCCACTCAAAGACTCATGCTTATCATCGCAACATTTTTTAAAAACACTGAGAAAACACGTGATCCATTCTGCCAATTAAAGTATCAGAGCCTTAATTATTACAGTATCATTCACAATATGACCCCTTATCCCTATGCAATCCAACCGATCCTGGCCTTGGCTCACTATTTTCTTCCTGCAAAGCCCAGAAGAACAAAGAGAGTTGGAGCTGTTAAAAGTAGATCAATCAATCAGAATACAGTTGGAAGAGACCTTTGAGATCTTCTAGTCCAGCCCCCCTGCTCAAGCAGGAGACCCTATACCATTTCAGACAGGTGGCTGTCCAGTTTTTTCTTAAAAACCTCCAGTGATGAGGCATCCACAACTTTTGAACACAAGCTGTTCCATTGGTTAATTGTCCTCACTGTTAGGAAGTTTCTCCTTAATTCCAGATTGCTTTTCTCCTTGATTAGTTTCCATCCATTGTCTCTGACTTTGCCTTCTGGTGCTTTGAATAATAAGTTGACCCCCTTCTTCTTTGTGACAGCCCCTCCAATGCTTAGATACAGAGTCTATTAATAACAATTTTATTAGGGGACAATCAGCGGGTCACTTTGTGATAGCCCCTCAAATACTTAGACACGGTCTACCTTAATAGCCACTTTATTAGGGCACAATCAGCCGCTCCCTTCATCTGATAGGCTCTTAGTCTCAAACAGTCACAAGGCAGCGATTCTATCCGAGGGAACCCAATCTGAAGGTTTTCGCTCCTTTCGAAGCACCTGACCAGCGTCTTATCCTCCACGCAGTCCTTAAGAGGGCCGGGGAATGTAAATGCGGGCGTGGGTGTCACTCGCCGCGGCGAATTACGCAGGACCCCACCTACTTCAAGGTAAGAATCAGGATATATCTCAGTTATCTGCGCTGTTCGCAACTCACCCCACCCAGGCGGTGGCAGCAGCAAGGCTCCGGCCGTCCCACAAGCTGGCACCGCGGGGTGGGCGTTCCGTACTAAAGACAGCGCACAGACTTGGGCCACGCTTCAGTTGCGAGAGCGCCGCCGAACGCGCGGGCCGAAGTAGTCAAAGCGGAAGCGCGGGTTTTCCTCAGTAGTCGCGGTGGTTTCGATCGAAGCCCACGTAGAGCGCTTGAAGGGGGGGAGGGGTGTCCCCGCCACGTGCAGCCGGACTGAGCGGAGGGACCCTCGCTCTTTCTCACTCGCCGCTCTTCGGGACCGCCGCTGGTGGCGGCCAGCTGGGAAACGCTCCGCATGCGCCGCTCGAGGAGGCGAGTGGGAGCAGAGAAGGGCTCCAAATTCAAACGACGGTGGCAGCGAGGACACCGGAGGAGCAGCCCGAAGCCGAGCGGTCTAAGAGCAGCAGAGCAATAACCGGGAGAAGAAAGAGGCGGCGGTGGGGAGGAAAGTAAAAACGGGAGTCTGGAGGGGGAGTAGGAGGAAAGCCGAGGCCGGGTGAAGAAAGGGAGCGCGCCAGCGAGGATCCGTGGCATTCTCTGCCGACGGAGCGGGGTTCGCCTTGCTCTCCAGCCGAGGCACCCCTGAGTCATTTCCTCTCCCTTCCTCTGGAGCTGAGGCTACCTGCTGTGCACCGCCATGGTAGATAGGGGTCCTCTGTTGACGTCGGCGATTATTTTCTACCTGTCCATCGGAGCAGCTATCTTCGAAGTACTGGAGCATCCTCATTTGCAACATGCGGCCGAGGGTTACAAGCAGAAAAAGTCGGAGCTCCTGAAAGAGTTTCCCTGTCTGAGCCAGGAGGGGCTAGATAAGATCCTGCAGGTGAGTTTTAAAAAAAGCTTCTTTCCCGCCATCTCTTTCGACTCGAACAAAATGGGTTGTCTTCCTTTCAAAAGTGCATTGCTGCAGATTCTCAAAGGGCGCCAGTTAACGCTGTAAGCTTAAGCAAATGGCACCTGCAATAATTAAAATATGCGCCTGCCCTGCACTCATTGCTCTCTCTCTCTCTCTCTCTCTCTCTCACCTTGCAAAAAAGAGAGATATTGTCCTCGAAATTAGACGCCTTTGGTTTTCTCTTGGAGGCAGGAGGCAGGTCTTTGAACACAGTAAAAACATTGTTCAACTCTGATGGCCTCCTGCTAGGTATGTGTCTCTTCCTGCACTGAATTGCACAAACTTAACAAGGCATGAATAATATCCAGAGACACTGAATTCTGCTACAGTGGAAAGTATGGATTTGCTGAACAAATATTGATATCTGAAATTACATTTAAAAGCAGGTATCTAACATATCCAGATTCACCTGGTTCATTCTCTTATACGGTGAAAAACCAAGCTGGTCGTATTTTAGCAGGGATTATATGTTTTGCTAAGAAAACACTGAGTGCCATATTGGTGCATTTATCTCAATAGCAGGTGCTTTGCTTGCAATTTCTTTTTTCCCAAATGTTCCACAGTAACATTTCCAAAATTTACCATGTGAGCAGGTGAAAACAACGTATTTATGTCACTAATGTGCAAGGGAGGCCTACTTTGTAATCAAATTTTTAGTTGTAAGTTTTCTTGCAGTTTTTGAATGGTGACGTTTAAGATTATTGCCAAAAAGGTTAGGGTTATATGTCAACAGGCAAGTAAAATTTCTCATTGTATACAGCCTAACCCCTTGAATTTGCTGGTGTATCTCTGGTTCTCAAAAGGTCAAAGGTGAGCTTTGAAATAATTCACTGGAAATTATCCTCCATGTGGTATGGGTTATGCAATGTTTTGTTCCTTCAATATTCATTCATTCATTTAAAAAAAAAAACCCTGCTTTTGGACTTTCAGTCCCAGTGCATTTGACACTTTTCTAGAGTGGGTAGAAAGGCTGAAGACTTCAAGAGAGTTTACTATAAGAACCCAATTAGCTGAACTTCATAAGGATCTGAAAAACAAAGGAGGGTGCTGAATGTGTCCTTCCTTGGTCTTTGTTTTGCCTGCCCCTTCTTATCTATCTGTTAAGCTCCATTAAGTAGGAAAGTTTGTCTGGCACTTGTGTTAAGCTCTGTCTTGCCCAGAGGCCAGAGAGTACAATAAAGAATGCAGTATATTTGTTATGACTGAGTGAGTCACAATTTAGGCCAAGTCCTTGCTGCACTTCTAGCCTTTTGCCTTTTGCATAGAAATGTTAGTCTTTAGCATAGAAATATTAGCTGTTCTGCAGTAGCCTTTTAAAGAAAGTTTTTCTGGATAACAATCCAATTCTTGCAATATTTAAAGAATGCAAATCTTTTTTTGAAGATGTTTACAGTCTTCAAGGAAATTTCCTGTAAAAGAATAGCTTGTTTGATATTGGCATTACTCTATGTATATATATATATATATGGATTACATTATTTTTTTTTCTTTCCTAGCATTTGTGGGTGCAGGGTCTGCTTTTAAAATTATAGAAAAAAAATAATGTGCACCATATGGCTTACTTTCTAGAAGATCGTATGTTTGAGAAAGGAAGGCACAAGCAATACAGTTCCAGTGCAAGTCTTCCACCTGTGTTTTTAACTTTTTTGAACTCTGACAAATGGGTACAATCTGAACCAGTTACTGAGTTTAGCCTAGGCTTCATGTTTGGAATATTATATATTTTCCTCTTTCCATTCTTCTGTAAGATGGACAAATTTTCTGGAGGTAAGAGGGGGGAAAGGCAAATAGTTTTGTTATAATGAATTTGTATATCACATTTTGCATTTTACACGTAGCATCATTCACTTTGCACAGTGCTTTATAATCACTGAATTGTCTTCAATTTGGCTTATGTCATTATGGCCATTAATACCTTATTTAAGTTGAGTTAACTGAGATTGGGAGAAATTAGTGCAAAATTCACTGGATGAACCTATAATGTAAGCCAAATAAATACATCCTGATATGTCATGATCTGAGAGAACTGAGCTAACTAGCATGATGTATAACCTCTATTTCAGTCCATGAATTCAATTACTCTGTGTCTCCATATTGTTCAAATTATTCTACAGCTGGATTTTCCTCTTGTCCACTTGTAATTGAAAAAGTCCCCTGTTTCAGGACAGAGAAGTTATTAAACTTTGATGCATCAAACAGTGCTGCTCTGTTTACTTGTTCTTCATAGACTTGTATTTTCTTGTCTTACACCTACGTGGGAAGATGCTTGATAGACTTCTAAATTGAAATTCTTCTACTGCATATAACCCGCTGAAGCGATTGGGGCACATATACAGAACCATTCACACAGCTGATGGCTATTTCAAATTTTTCAGAAAAGCTGCTTGCTCTATTTAAGAGGCAAGTCTATATACTTTGAAGTATAAGTATTTACCTGGAAAGCAAGACATTCTTCAGAAACTTCTGCTTCTTAGCATTTCCCCTTTCTTCATTGCAGTTTAACAAACTGTACCTAAAATGTACCCAGGAAGTTGGGGAAAGAGTTCCTGAAGTTAAGTTTCAGTACCACTGATCCTACATCTGTTGCTGTACTTGTTGCATCAGTCTAAGTGAAGTGCGGAGTCCATATAATTTAATTGAATGGAATGATCATCTAAGACTATGATTACTAAGACCTTTAAACATGTGTTGCAAGTATGCTTTTTCACGCTGAGCATGTTTTCTCTTTTAGTAAATTTTGAGAGGTTCCTTTTCTTTCTTCTTCTTCTTTTTTTTGGCAATACAAATCATTTGTTTTCCATTTCCATTAATGAAAAATTTTGGTCACTTTATATTGGAGTATCTAGAACTTATTTTTAAAAGTTCTTAAAGCAGAATCCAGGAATTCTGCTGGTATGACTATCTCCTTTTTTCTTTGCTCAAATTATTGTGCCACACCCATGTTCAAATCCTAGTAGCTCTCATATGCAACTTGGACACAACTTGTTTCTTGCACTCTGCTTATACTGTAAATTCTACCTACTTTTCTTCACTCCCCCAAATTCTGTGAGGCCTGTATCAGGTTTCCAGTTATATATTCTCTTTTTTAAATCTTATCTTCCTCCTATTTTATTCTCAATTTCCTGGAAGTTACAAATAAGCTGTATTTCTCCCCCCCCCACCTTAAAATGGTTGTTTTCATAAAGGAACATGTTCAAAATCAAACGCTAGAAGATGTTAGTTTTAATATAGTGAGGTGTTCTTCTAACTCTGAATTTTTGCACACACAAAAAGAATCCACTCCTAATTAGTCTTTAATCCTATATCTTGAAAATCTGAAAGATGGTGCTTAAATGTAACAAAATATTGCATTTCCATGGCTTTCTATTTCACAGCAGACATTGCTAGAACTTAGAGCAGCAGTTCTCAACCTATGGGTCGCGACCCCATTTGGGGTCGAATGACCATTTTACGGGGGTCGCCAAACAATGCGATCCGCCATTTTCCCCCCTCGGGGTGGCGCCGCGCATGCGCACTGCGCATGTGCGGCACGTCCGTGTGACGGGGTCGCCATCACACAAACGTTGAGAAACGCTGATTTAGAGTGTATAGATTTGTAATGATCTATGAATTGTTTTAAAAGTTGGTGTTCATGCTAAATTTTTCTTAATAATTTTTTACATTTTATGTTGCCAATGAAATAACATAGACATAACTTGTAATGATAAAATGTTCCTATTTTGTTGCTTCATTGAGTCATAAACTGTAACAGTTAGTAACTGGTTTTCATTTCCTGTAACAAATTACATAAGAAACTTTTTTTATTCTTTAAAACCACAGGTGCATTTCTGTCCTACAAGATGTCATGAACTTCTGAATCGAACTGTTAGAAAAGACATTTTTCTTTGTATGTCTGCAGGGGTGTGTTTAAAATAGCAGCATAATCTTATGCATGTTTATTTTGGAACGTATCTACTGATTTTAGGACTTATTATCTAATAAGTATGCATAGGGTGGCAACTTTTCTGGGCAAGAGCTTCTGAAGATTAGCTCATGTTTTCTCAGATGTAAGAAGAGTATCAGTTAGAAATTGTATGGGTACAGGAATGTATTTGTGTTTTGTGAATACTGGGCAACAAAGCAACAAAAATATGAGAATTGTTGGTCCATTACTTTTTTTATACAGAACAATAACGCAGAATTGTTTGGCAGAGTGAGATGAGTGGCATATAAATTTAATAAATAAAATAAATAAATAATGTATGAAAGATAACATCACAGCTTATCCACTGGGCTAATTTTATTTTTCTACTTACATTTAACTTATTTGGGCACAGTTACATTGATTGATACTCTGAATGGGTCACAGTACCTGATGTACGTTTGGGTTCCCTACAAAAATGTTAAAGCTTTGCTCCTACCTTTTGAATCCCATGGTTCTTAGTTTATACTTTTTTTCTCCTATCCCACCTTAATAGGAACATGTTAACCCCAACTCAATCAAACTACATCATGTCAAAATCAAAGGTGTCATTTTAAAAAAAATATTTCTGAAGATTGAGGACTTATATATAGTAACAGTATTGGAATAAAAGCTTCTCCAGAACTTTGTTGGCCTTCTATCAAAGATGATTATAAATGCAACCTTGCAACCTCTGATTACTTCATATTGTCAAATGTAATTATCATTTGTGAAACTGAAGTGACAGGCTGTCCTTAGAAATATGTTTATGAAAACAATGACAATTCAAAAATGGGTTAATTATATCATACTCTACTGAACAGTATCATTTAGTCATGAATCTTAGCATACAGGTAGTCCTTGACTTACAATCATTCATTTAATGACCATTTGAAAGTACAACGGCACTGAAAAAAGTGACTTATGACAGTTTTGCACACTTAACAACTGTTGCAGCATCCCTATGGCCATGTGATCAAAATTTAGA